TCGGAAAATTGGCAAAATTCTATGGCTAGTGACATTTTTGTTGACGATACTGAAAACGCGAACAGGCATTTGACACCGAAAGAGCTAGTGGAAGAAGATCCGGCTATGACAGAAAAGCGCGACAGTTGGGAGAAAACTACCAGTAGGCTAAAGGAAATGAAAACTGAATTGGAAACATTTACCTACTATATGTCATAAATGTACTTATCCATATATTGCAATATTATTATTCTGCAAACGATATTATTGTTATGTCAAGAACTACTATAATAAAAACTTTGCAATAACCAACAATCGAATACCGTTTACTCAATTTTTGCATTTTATATAGGACAAGTAACAACAGGGTATAATGTTAAACCAACCAAACACAATGAATTGCTATTTCCATTGTTTAACGGAACAAAGTTATATCTACCTTAACAGGAACTGTGTGTCTGAATAGTGTAATCTTACTCTAACAATGATGCAATTTTAAAATCTGAAAATTTACTCATAATGCCAAAAATAGACTCCAATGCTTGGGTATTTATTTTGAACTAATACAAATCGAAAAATAATCGTCCCATTAAATATTTCATACATTTTAGTAAACAGAGGGGATGCGCGTATAAACAAATAAATGATGTTCTGATTGTGATGGGACACCATCTTCAAAAATCAAAACATAAATATTTCGATGAATAACCAAAATTGACGAATTTTTCAAGGACGGTGTTTATATTGTTAAAAACATATATGCGAGAATTGTCCCTCACTTCAATGAGGCATTTACTTAAAAGTCGGTTTAATCTAAATAATCAGGCTTTTTTAAGCCTGTCCAAAATTGATAAAATTATATTGTACTTTTGACTCTATGTTTTTTTGGGTTGGAATATAGTCTTAGAACTAAATTAATAAATTAAATCCGAGCATCTTCCCGCTTTCTATTAATTTAAATTGTTTAACTTGTTTTGCACAAACTTACCAAAAAATATAAAGCGAATTCGAAGTGTATTGCTTTTACTTGGTGCTGTGATACAGTATTCTGCAGCGTTGCGACAACATCTCAGCAAAACAATTGACTCAATATCAAGCTAGAGAATCTGATATTATTGCTGAGCGAATAGTCCGTAAAAGTTTGTAACGTCAGCTACTGTTTGACAACTGCCGTATTTCTCGGACTAAAGTACCAGTATTATTTTACAAAACCAGGTACTTACTATGCACGGGATGGTACTTTAATCGGATAGTAATAGTGGTATTGTATTAGTATGTCAGATCGGAATAGTATAATTAGTAACAGTATTATAATCGATATTTATTAAAGTAATTAATATTAAAGCTAACTGATATTGTTACTATAATATTTGTATTAATGTTTTTGAATTTAATAATTAAATGCGTAAAACCCCAAACATGTTAATAAAATTATCACATTTTCCATTACAAACATGACAATTAAAACTAAAACTAACTGAAGCTTTGTAACAAACACATCGATTGCTTGTGCATTTAGTTTTGCAGTTACATCTAATTTTTATTAAATTTACTAAGCTTTGAGCCGAGGCAGCTTTACGCAATGTTACACTCTTGTTAGGAATGTCATTTAGCTCTGGATAATGTATGTCTGGCTCGATTAATTCAAAATTACTAGTTGAATATTGGATGCTGAGTATACCTGAAGAGTACCCTAGCTGACATAATCCATTTCTCATCTGCGCTGTGTAGGGATGGTACGTGTGCTCGTGCAACAGTTCGCTGATCCTGATGAGCCGTTGGCAGCATTTTCGCGCAATTGTAAGTATTTTCATTAGCGCAACTTACTATCCGTATCTCCTTTAATATTAATATGTTTAAACATTTATTATATGAGATATGTTGACATCAGGTGTTTGAAATAAACAAAGTTTTTATTATTCTATACCTCTTCATTTGTGTTTGAAAGTTCAGAAAGCCAACGATTAAATTTGTTTTCCCAAACATCTAAAAGTGCTTCTGGATCTATATAGCACTTTGTCCACATTGAAATTGAAACAGCAAGCTTTATTAAAAAGAGAAAATAGAAATTACAAAAGGAAAAAGTAAGTACAAATTTTTGCATCCGCTCGCTTACAAAAATCCCTTCAAAAATTTCGAAACAATTTAGACAAGAGGCCGAAAAGGTAAATAAAAACGTAGTTTATTCGGCTGGTTACTGAACTCAGTAACACAGCTGTTGCCTCGGTTTCGTCGACAGCAGACTACACAAAAATAATTTCAAGCATTTTTAACAGGAAAAGGCGCCTGACGAATGTATTTTAACGAGCACGCTATCTCGTTTGAAACACAATTACGGGTTTGTGAGAGCCTTAATGTTGACAAAGAATTGTGTTTTTTTACTTACGGAATAATGACAGATAAAAGCACGAGAAGAGAAGAAAATATTTCTAATTTGCTTCGCTTGTTGGTATGACAAGAAAAAAAGCTGACATTGACCTTAACAACAATGGAAGAATAGATTGGTGTGCTGGGTTTGAGGTCGGGTCGCAAACCGTGTTTATCAGGGGTCCGGGTCATTTGCCCGACAGTCACTTGCCCGACAATCATTTGCCCGACAAAATTTACCAAAAAAGGATAAATTTGAAATAATGCTGGTAAATATTTGTCGGGCAAATGACTGTCGGGCAAGTAACTGTCTCGGGCAAGTAACTGTCGGGCAAGTGAACGGCTCCCGTTTATCAGACATGTGAAGAACATGATTTTAATCCTGCAAGATGCAATCTTTTGGTGGTGCAATACTGGACTAAGAATGAAATCAAGCGCGATACGCTCGCTATGTCATGTTAGGCTGCAAACCGCCTGACCGATATTGTCGTTGTCAGTTATGATTTTGATTAAATTGTAATTTATTACCATGACGTATACGTCGGGATTAAAGGCAATAACTGAATTCAAGAATAAACGGTTCGGAAAGTTAAAGCCATATACAAGGAAGGCGGACTCCGCATTGACTTCAGACACACCATGAATGTTAGCCGGATATTCTCGCTCTCCCTTACAGCCGCATATAAACTTAACCATGTTATCACGATCATACTATGTCATTGAGAGAAGAGACGACCAAAGGATCGACATGTTTATGAGCAACAGTTCGACGACACAACTTCGACGGGTGGATCGGACAGCGAACATGGAGTGGTACTTCGCTCACCAAACTTACCCAGACGCAAGCTTATTTCATTCATTCCTTTTCTTAATTCAGACATGACGTGTACGGTTTAAAATAGAAAAAGCGAAAGCGTTATCACCAGGTGGAGCTGTGTTGAATTGCAACAGGTCTGGAGACAAGACTACAATGGGTATCTCTATAGATATCGTACTCCCAATTTATTTAATTTTATTTTTAGCATAATAAACGCGTCGATAACTTTACAGTCTTTCACTATAGGACATTTAATGTAATCAAAGTTTTCACAATTTCGTTCAAAAATGAAAGTTATAATAATATCAACAACTCATATAAAGTCGCAAAAATGCACCTTACAATTTTGCAGAGCAAGTATAAGTAACGCGCAACAAGTGATTGACCCCCATAATTGAGCTCGATTAAAAAAATTTTAAATGTCAAATATTTTACTACCCGATATATCATAGCACGTGCACGTTTTGGTCATAAATTCAAAAAATTGTATCTCGACACTTTTCCAAATTTAGTTTACAAACGCATTTCTTATTATTGCAAAACGTAAGTAATAGTAGGACATAATGAGATTGATTGATATAATGTGCATTATTATTGCCAAATATAGAGATAAATTTGACAAAAAAAATCATGCAAACGGATAGAAAAACGTGAATTTAAAGTTTCTGTCGAAAAAAACTGTAGTTTCGATTTTACAAATAAAATTTCAAACCATTTGCTCATTCCTATCTCAAGTCACGAGGGTTAATTACTTAATATTAAGTACTTTAATTTATCATGGCATAATATCAGACATTAAACCAAGTTGTCAAACGGTCCTTTAAATGTAATTTTAGTTATCCAGCAGACTTTTGGCTTTGTCATAATTAATTATAAATACAAGTCTATTGTATTGGTAATTAAACTATGGCTTCGGGCCTATATTTCTGTTGCGCGACTAAATAATTATGTCACGAGTCGACAGTCAAGGTAATTAATTACGTAATTTTAGCAACAGGCGCGCATTTGCATAGCAATAATTTAATTTCTTCAAGAACAATATCGACAAAAGGTTACAAGAACTTTATTTTGTTGAGACATAGCAGTTTATAGGTCTTGTAACTCCATAGTCTTTTTTATACAGTAAGAAGAAATAATATGCGGGAGAGTATGGACACATGGGAAACTGGTAAACTATTGTGCGTTTATGTAGTGTTGATGAAAAAGGAAGGTATACGACCGAGTCGGTTTTAGGAGCTACCTACATGTAAAATGTGACTCTCTCAAGACAAAAAACGGATGCGTCGGAGAAAATGGTCAGAAAGAATAGTTTTTAATAATAATGTAAGGAGTTGAGAGAGAGTTTGTATAAGGTTGTGACCACAGGCTTTTATTTCAAAGAAAAAGAGTGAGTGAGGGAAATTTCTCGATAGTTGTATTACTTGCAGCAGTAACAAACCTATGACAGATTTGGCTATAGTTTACGGTATTTACGTGTGTTTTGATATTAAAATCTATTATAGCATAAAACTTATTCGACAATATTGTTAGCATTATTAGAAATCTACGCTTTCTTTGATATTTATTCTTCTCTTATTATTTTAGTGTCATGTCGGTAGACAGTTAATCTTATAATATATGCGTGCTTTGTACACGCGCGTCTACAAACGTTCTTACTGTAGTTAGAAAAACTCTTGGTGGCAAAGCTCACACAGTGTAGCAAAACAAAGTCTTCGATCGCGCACATGTTATGCAATAACATAACAATTGTTATTCCGCGACGCTTACGGTTGTTTTTAAACTATCAAAAATTTATTTTGACCAATTCTAGCTTTTGCTGTCAATCAAGTTCGAATACACAACACACAGTCAATAGTTTAAATTCCACAGAAAAGTATACCCAAAATTGTTTTATGGTTGAAGAATGAAATTCTTTCCGAGTGTTGGAAATTGATATATGCGAACGTGGAGCTAACCGTGGGAAACAAGTGTGAAAATGTTTTATAAAATAAAGCCGAGTTCATTGCTAGATTTTTTTTTCTGAAATTAAGAATTTATTTTTATTAATTAATCGAAGGAAACTTGTGCTCAAGCATTATTAATACTCTAACGTTGTTCGAGTTTACCTTAACATATGTTAATTTCAACTTGAATTCTGATATATTAATTTTGTTTCCAAAATTGATAGACTTTTGTTATCTTTCGATACCTGGCTGTTAATTTGTATCGGGCCTTTTTTTTTCGCCTTGGACAAACATTTGTTTGGTATTCGAAAGACTTCGTCTTCTAGCAGCTTTTTTGTAATCCGTGCTGACGATCGCTTGTCGCGAACAACACTGTGAGGAGTAGTCTTAATTTTCGCCAAACATAATGCTATCATCATTAGCTCAAAATGAAAAACTATTCTTTCTCATTAAATGCACACAAAGGGCATTGACATAGATTAAAATGGCTAATCCTATATAAGCCATCCGAGTTTTCTAGTCTGTACGATAAACTTCAATGGAGATTATCTATATATTTGTATCACACACACAAAGCTGATATCTAATTCACCTCCCATGCCACAATCTATTATACCAATCGTAACGTATAAATGAGCAGCAGGGAATCGAAATATAGCTTACAAAATGATACAAAAGAAAGAGAAAGATTGGACTTGCAACATGCTTACATTAAGCATGGGTTCAATGGGAATTTTGCGGCGCCTGTCGACCAGATTTTGAGGAGTGGTGCAAGAGTGCTTGATATTGGGTGGGTCGATTAAGAAAAATAAAGGCTTGTGTTATTTCGTTGGGTTACGTAACTATTACAAGCCAAAAAATATAGCGACATCGCTTTACGTTAACATTATTAGTGACCGTGATAGTTATTCCTTTCCGAAATAAAGATGCGGCTCGGGTATCTGGATTCTCGAGTTGGCCGAAGAATACCCCAACTCCCACTTCATCGGCATAGACATGGCACCGGTAGTCCTTAAGGATAAACAACCTGATAATGTCGAATTTATAACACACAACGTTCTCCATGGCTTACCCTTTGAAGACAATTCATTCGACTATGTGTTTGCCAGATTTCTTGGTGCGGGATATACAAAGAGTCAATGGAAAGAGATTGCTATTCCCGAGTATACGAGGATCGCCAAGTCAACTGGATGGGTGGAGCTTATGGAGTGTGATATTGTGCTAAAGTGCAATTCCAAGGACAATTCCAAGGAAGTTGACCTGATAAATAAAGCATGTATGTTGAGGGAAGGATGTGGATCAGAAGAAGCGTTTTAATAGTAATGCAATGCTTTCAAGATACTCAAAACTCACATTAATGTTTATTCATTTTCCCTAGTGGTTGATCTATGTGACGCAACAAATTTATATTTTAATATTGCAGGCGAAGTCAAAGGATTTCTGGAAGAAGGTAATCGTTATAATAATATCAATTGCCTGGAAAAACGTCTTCCGGTGGGACCTATGGGAGAGACGGTGGCCGACATGGTGAGTATTAATTCTGTGTTATGATGGATACTGTATAAGATAACGACTCATTATATAATAACTCTGTATTCAAAGGGAGTAAAAGACTTTCAAGAGATCTGGAAGTTGTTCAAAACTCCCATCATACCATTGATGCAGGTGTCAGAAGAAGAATACGATGCAATTTACGAGTCAGCAATTCAGTATTTGAAAACGATTGGTGCTAAATGGGTATTTTCAAGAGCATGGGGTCAGAAAGTGTGATTCAATTATGGTGTAGCAACACGTGAATGTAAATGATCAACTTACTTTTTACGCATGCTAATACTGAAGAAGGAGACTGACTACACGATATTAATGGCGATAGTACAATCCTTGTTTCGGACATATACCAAACTGTTGCTAAAACAAATCACTCGCAATTTTAACCAAGTAAAGCTTGAATGATATTCATGATTATATTAATATTGTGACACAAAACAGGCTAAACGTAAACTGTAGTGTTCATACAAACATTCGGTGTGTATTCGATAAAGTTTGCTGCACCATTAATTTTTATTTTTTAGTAACTTGTCAAAACACGCGGTTTGTAAAAGGTATATTAATATAAATGATTTTGGTTTCATATTTTGCTAAAACCGTGTGATGAATATGAAACTTGTAGTAAAAACAATATGTAGTAAATATTATGTTTGTAAAATTACAAGTATCCTATTTCTTTTAATTCGGGTCAGAAATAATCAAATGTAGTATATAACAAATTTCAATAATCTGTACACTCAAATACTTTACCTCGAAATACAATATATTAATATGCCATACCCAATTTTAGGTCATAATTTTTTACGTCATAAATATAATTGTTGCCAAATTACTGTAATTACTACTAATATTGACATCATGCGCGTTTATTGCCAAATATTGACCAATATTAAAAAAAAAACATAAAGATGCAAATTTGGCAAGCGAAAAGATTATAAATTGATTAGAAACATGTGAAGATATGAATTTTTGAAGTTTATGTTCCAAATAAACGGCACTCGGTTTTGTTATGTTAATGTTTGTCAGATTTGCTGGAGGCATCCAACGGGCTGATGATGCACTGCGCGTAGGAAATTTTTCAAATGTCTGATCATTCCTGCTCCAAATTAGAAGCAGTAGAATATTTCTGCACATTACTGTATTTCTGCACTTGAATAAATTACAAGTATTGTCTAAACGTGATTTATTTGTTTATCCATTTAAGAGAGCTGCAATAATGGGGGGCTTAATGTAAATTTTCGTATATTTCCAACCGCTCTTTTAAATATTATGGGTTGTTATAACTATAGCAGTCATTTAACGCTTCATAATTTAGGTAGTCGCGCAACAATTTAACATTATTCCTCATTTAAACGTTATTTGCAAATAACTTATTAACAAAATTAACGGCAAATTTTAGAGTTGTTTAAATAATAACGTGTATATGAACAACGGTTGAATTCTGGCAATTTCAATGTGTCCATTAGTTTCAACATATATAGAGTATATCTAGACATTCTTAGACGTTCGTTAAAAAGGTGGAATGCAAACAAGTTTTTATTATTTACGATAAAATCTGGCGTAATAACAACACAATTCCTTGTTAACAATTATAACAACAAGTCTAACAATTATCCTGAACCATAATATTCAAACTGATAATGCCGAAGTAAAAAACGGTAATATAACTAATTTTGGGGATCATGGGTGTTCGACAATTGTTAATGCTGCTAATTGTGAAGTTCAATTTGGGAGTGGAGTTTCGGGAGCAATTGGTGAAAAAACTGGTGATTTAGCCGAGATAAAGCAAGTTAATATCAGTGATTTACATTCCTTTTTAGAAAGCGATCACACTTCCTTTCGTTCGACAAGAAAAATCAATATGCGCTTCGGCATTGAAACGAACAATTCCTTTTAGAATTACTTCGCATCGAATAAAAATGTGAGTAGTTTATGGAATCTCTTACAACTTGCTCCGAAAATGGCTGATTTCTTGTTCAGTATCGTCCTCATCATCTTCCGTTCTACGGAAATCCAAGTCAAAAGTATCCGAGCTTATAATAAGACCATTCAGAACTATTTTCACGCTTTGTATCAAATGGTAACGAATTCTTTCCAATTAGCTTCGACTGATATCCCAAGTGTTTGATATGACGTCACTGCGATAATGGCCTAATTGCACAAAATATGTGTTAAACCCAAAGACATTAAAATACTTTTATGTAAACGTAAGAATATTATAGTGTAAACATATCGTTAATGAAAGTATAATGAGGGCATCAATTCATCTATATGTTTGTGCTGTTTGTTTAGACGTGGAACCTGTGTCTCAAGACTACTGAAAACAGACTCGCGTATTTTAACATCAGTGGTATGAAAAATTGTAAAGTTTTTGCCTATGATCGGTAAGTAAACTAGGACGTTAAGAACGTATCTTGATGACAGTGACGAGTCGCTGTGTTGTTGTATTAGGCATTTGTATCTAGGCCGGGAAATTCCAGCGACGGGGAAAATTTGATAAGCGATGTATCCAATGATTATCGTAGGGAATTTGCTTATCCATCATTTTGCGCGTCATGTAAAATAAAATGACTGCGTTAATAACCTTGTGATTATCAAGTGTAAATGCATTCACCATTGTATCCTTTATCAGTTTCGGGGGGTGGGCGACAAGTCATTCAATAAATTCAACGTTACGCAGACTCTCCTTTTATTATGCGTGGTCTTTGTTATATAATATATCTAATTACCATACATAATAATATCTAATATTTTATACACACAATCACCACGTTCAAATACTTGTACAATGCATTGATAAATAATACAGAATGAATAAGTAGTAAAATTTCAAAAATGAATTTCATGAACCCAATTAGGATGGGAAACATGAACCTCCAGATATAAATCATATATCTCCACTAGCATAATTCAAAAATGTTCATTTTTTGGTTTCACAGTATTATTATAATGTCCAATTTCATTACTTCATTTATCAATCCACCTTTTACACCCCACTCTTCAACTTCCCACCTTTCGCGGAGGGTTTCCTCGCCTTGTCCTTTCCGATAACTCCACTACTTTTTCTGGTGGGTGCCTTCACACTACTGCTACTCGTTTTACTCCCTCCAACTGGGCTAGCCTTACTTCTATCTTTCTTCTCCTTTGATGTCTCGTCTACTTTATCAAGCTTCTTCTCTGTTGGTGTGCTTTTTCTTATGTTCTTGGGACATCCTTCTTCGTCTAGCAGATGTGCCTTCCATCCAGCTTCAGTAGCTGGTCGGACCACCGTTTTACAAAGTGGACAACGAACAATCTGAGGTGGAATGAGCATACATGTCTGTTTGGCTATGTGCTCAAGATAACTGTCTGCCGGAATTACCTCCCGACATCGTGGGCATTGTTTTACAAATTTGGATTTGTCACAGTCTGTGAGCATGTGATCGTCAAGGGTTGATATCTCAAGGATCTATCGAAAAGAAGGAATGATTAGCAATCAAGTAATCAATAATGTTTTCGTAATGAAATTTATTGATGTTGAGCGCATATACATACAATATTACAAAGTGGACACTTTGTAAGAACCGGACAGTCGTTCCAATAGTGCGTCATCAAGTTCTCTTCAGTAAAATCATCGTTCTGTTCATCACAGAATATGCAGAATCTGAAGAAAGTGTTGTTAAAACGTTAATTTACTATTCACATTTCACTACACAGTTTATACATTAGAGTTTCATCATGTAGCTATTCATACCCATCAGCTTTAACATCTTCCCCCGCGTCTTCCGATGCCTTTGATGTAGAATCGCCGCTTTTACCATTTGCTATGAAATAAAAAAAATAAAATTTTTTTGTATACAATAAATACATGTTCGTATATAAAACAAATATCTTGCCGACTCTCTACAAATTAAAAATAATACATACTCGTCTTTGTTGAAGGCCTGCTTGATGACTTTTCTCCTGCAGACCCACGACGTGACGGGGTTTTAGAGGCAGTACCACGAGCACTCACGCTTGACTTGGAACTAGTCTTTGACTGAACAGTGCTCTTACTACTATCAACTTTTTTCTTGACGACCGTCTTTTTCGCAGCGGGTGCACTCTTGGTGCTCTTGGCAGTCTTGGCGCTAGAAGATTTCTTCTCTGGGGCAACCTTTTCGACTTCCTGTGGTGCGACTTTTGGTTCAACTGGTGCGCTTTCCACAGCGGCTGGCGGTTTTTGGACCTCGTCTGGATATTCGTGTCTGAATAATTTCGTGCTGTTTGCCAAGTATGCATCATAATCGTCTTGGACAAAGTGGTTTACGTTGTTTACCATGGCACGAGCTTCCATTAGTTGCTGTTGTAACCGAGATACAGTACCACGCTTGGCAAGAGGCTTTTCAAGTAGGGCTTCGTCCAACTCGAACATGGTTGGTGGTGCTATTTGTGCTTGTCGCGGTCTACGCCGACGATTGGGTCCCTGATCTTCGACTAGTTTCCATATGGTTTCTAATAACAACGGCTTTACTCCATCGAGATACTTTTCAACGTTCTCTTTCTCGGTATACCTGCATACTCGAGCGGCGAGTTTCGTGGCACTATCTCGTACGTCGCCATTACTATGATTCAAATAAGAAACCGCTACTTCCATGACGCCTTCCAAACTAATGGCGGAATCCTTATCAAACTTTCCTTTTGGAACTAGCGCAACACCAAATTCGTCCACCAATCGCATGACTAATTCGATTTTAGCCTTGGCTTGTTTCGGGGGCTGCGTCTGAGTAAGAGCCGGCTTCAATACATGAGACATGAGCATTTGATTTGGAGTTCGATAGTTTGTGCAGAGCATTACAAACAAGTCTGATGCAGCTTGCTTGAGTCGAGGATTACCATCTGCGATTTTTGCAAAGAGTTTCGGATACGTTTGCTCCACTGTTTTGTATGTAGCCGAATTTGGTGTCTTGTGGAGGACACAGAACTTTGTTATTGCATCCCAAAGCTTAATTGACTGAAGGATTAACTTTTCACGAGTATCACTTAACCCTTCCTCCATTACTTGGAAGGCAGCTTTTATGAGAGCCAACTAAACGTTAATTAGACATTATTAGTATTAACAGAAAAAAATATTTAAATTTTTTTTTTGGATATAAACGGGGTTTTCAAATTTTACCTTGTCAATCTTCTCGTCAATTGTAAGTCCGACGCCTTTCTCGATATCAATCAATCGAGTAACCTCAAAAAGTGCAGACTCGCGAAGCTTGAACTTTTTGGATAGCAAGCACGAAATAACTCGATCTCCAAAGACATCGATCGACCAAGCGAAAGCCGACTTGGCCAAATCAGACAATTCTTCCGGTTCATTATCCACCAGTTCATCTTCAAACGGCAAGGGCATAACGGGCGGTTTGACTTTTTCCAACGCCGGAAGAGGTCGCTCATCCTCGACTGCTGTCCAGGAATGGGTCTTTTCAGACGACACTGGGCTAACTTGAGCGCTCGAATTTGCAGACGTACCAAAAGTGTCGTCGAGATCATGTTTGTTTATCGCGCTTGCATGACGATTGGAATTTGATGCGTTGCTGTTGGTACGGCTTTTTGAGAGATTCAAGGGAGAAGGTGACCGTTTCCGTGACATGCTTCGTTGCATGTTACCTGCTGCAAGTTCGTCATGTCCATTCAATTGATACGGATAGTCATCTCCGTCTGTCCTTGACACCATTGCCGAACCGTTCGATGCATTCCTCGTCATAGAATGAGACGAAGCTGTTCGTGTCATTCCACTTGAGTTGTGTTTGCCCGACAATGAACTTCGGGGCGACGTGTTTGGTGTGTCACGAGGAGATGCTTTACCATTGGAAAGTGACCCACGTGGAGAGTGGGTCTGCGATTCGGATGGAGTTGGTCGTGTATCGGCCAGACCGACTATGTCGGCAATGTCTGGATCGATGAGTATTACTTCACCGTTTTCGTCGACTTCGATTCCTTCATCGATTATCTTGTCACGAACAGTAGATTTTATTGCCTCGATTTGACTCTGCAAGATGAGGTGAGAAGAATTAGAATAACTGAAAAACATTACTGTTGGGGAAGAGTGGGGAGGGGGTACATGCCTTGTATCTGGCTGCGCTGTCATAGTCTTCTTCTTTGACAACTTGCTTTTTCAGAGCATCCAATTTCATGATTTCTTCTGCGCCCTTTTCCATAATAGTCATTGAGGTCTTTAAAATCTTGGCAAAATAGAAATCTTCAACTACAAGTTTAAACAAAGATCATTTAATGCCTGTAATACACAATGTAATTGATATTCTGCATCTCGGGCAATCACCCCGTACTCTTTTTGCTTCTTCTTTACCTTTCACAGCTGTTTCTTTAGCCCTGCTAAAAGCCTCCAACAATTTTGTCATGTCTTCTGTATTCTGCAAAAAGTTTGGACTGTGGAACGGATTACCGTCTTCAAAATTGACAACATCATCTTCTTTGGGTGGGTCTGAGAGTGTGGGAGAGGGAGGAACAGAGGCTTGAAGTATAGGAACTACGCATGATTCAGGCGATGCTACACGGGATGAAGGATCATCATCCGCATTCTAAACGTGAACAAGGGATACATGTTAGAACAAGTGTTGTGAAAGAGCAAGACATTAATCTCAAGATTTTATTGTCGCACAAGTGTTTACCTCGATTGGGATGATTCTACTTTCGCCATCGAGACAGTCATCTACTCTCTCACCCATAAGTGTAATACCAACAACTCCAACCTATTGATTCATCATCATTAGTTACATGAAGCTCAATAACAACACACTTTTCCTCTTGTAAACTTTGCCTACCTGGTTATATTGATTCAAATGGTTTGAATGAAAACGTCTTGCAACGAGTCTGATGTATTCCCCGGTAGCATCCAATCGAACAGATTTCAGCTCTCGTGCCTTATAATTGGCCCGTTCATTGCTATCCAATGCACAGTATCTAGAATTGAGAGAATTGGAATGTTAATTTTCATATGATTACTTAAATAGGTAAAAAAGGGGGTGCATTCATAACGTAGATCGTTTAGTTAATTTTGGAAAGGCGGTATAAACAGTTCTATTTATGGTAATAAAAAGGCGGGCGCCTCGTTGATCGTAAATTTATAACGTGTTACAGAATGATATGACATATAGCGCCATATACATATATGGTCGACTCTTCATTACATGTGATATTACTTAATACATTTTTTTGGTTTTTTGACCCGAAAGGAAAAAGAAAAACAATAACCAAGATCCGACACACGGGCAATTTTTCCTTTCACATACCCGAGTCTCCTAAAGTGGATGTAGGGAGCGTCAGCCATTCTGACGATATGATATTCCTCCTCTTCGTCATCTCTTCCTTGACTAATTCCTTCACCATCAGAGTCATTATCTACGATCTTGGGCATTTGATCCCAAGACAGATCTTCTCTTGACAACTCGGTTTGCGTTTGTTGATCGTCGTTGATGATAATTGGTTCATCTGATTCGATAGTGGCGGCAGTGATAATGGCAGTCGTATCAGCAACGGTCGCATTGTCTTCTTTGAATGAGTTTTGTGATGGTGATACCATTTCTTTTCTTCGCTGAATTGCGCCAACGTATATGTCTAGTTTCTGCGCTATTTTGTAATGGTGGGAGAGTATTTGGAGTTTGCGTATTCTGGCTGGACCGTCACGTATGCGGAGTATTATTTCTTGTGGATATGTACAGAATCTGTTAAACAATAATGAAATGGTTGGAGGTTGATTTGTGAATTTTTTGAAAGTGAATCAAGCATTGCGTAGTTTTTGTTCTTGGACAAAACGAGTCAATAAATGGGTTTGGTAATAATGCTGATTTAATTCTAATGTCGTGCAAAAACTCTTAATTAAACTTTTCAATTCACTAACGTTCAATAACATGGCAGCATGACTGGTAGTAATCCATGCGATGTTCTTGTTTGTAAGTGCAAAGACTACACGTACCTTGGTGACTGCCATCCCTTTCCATGTTTGACAGTGTTGTTGCTATCGCTTATTTTATCTTTTGGCACCAATTGCTCTGGCGGGTAGTTATCGTCCCAACCAGTCGCATGAATAATCTCGAATTCGAGGTGTTGTAGAGACATTATTTCTTTTAAGAGTAGTTAGAAAGTCTTTGGAAGAAAAAAGTAGTTGTAATGTCGATAGTTATTTGTCGCTGTCTACTATTGTAATATGTTAATAATGTATATAGTATTTGCTTTATATGTATAAATATTAAAATATTCCTTTTTTTATCTCTCGCTGTTGTTCTCTATATTATTACTTGTCTGTAAAGTTTCTTTTATTGCTATGCTAACTTCGTCAAGAGTAGCAGCAGCAACAGCAACGGCAAACACTGAGAGTTTTTGTTTAGAATAGAGTAAGGTTTGCAAAAGTGCCGAGTTGGTTGAAAGGTGAAAAGAGTGGCGATTTTTGGTTGTATATATGTGATAGATTGTATATATGTGATAGATTGTACATATGTGATGTATATTTAATAAAGTAATAATTTATATATTATTGTAATATGTTGATGAAAGGGCGGCAATTAAGATGGATGTGTAGGGAAAAGGCGAGGGATTGCAGTGTTACTTGTCCCACTTTGAGCATTGCGATGGACAAATCGCTCATGATTGGTTGACAATCAGCAAGCCCGAATACGATAATTATTATTGTAATCAATGTAAATATACATACAGTCCATTTGATGTTTCAATAGTATATTATAAAGATTGCTATTTCAAATGATTCTCAACGCCGATGTGGTTGCACAGCGCGTGTCAAGTGATGGATGGTTTGAATGGGGGGGAAATGTCAATATGTAGAATTTCCGAGGAGAGGAACAGAGAAAATGAAAAGAATGTATTGAACATGTAGTCATTGTGCTGATTATACAGTCTAATCGGTCATTGTGAATGTTTTCTTTGCATTATGGCCCTCGAGCTATACTCTGCAAGAATTGGTGTGAACAATATTAACAGCCAATGACCAAAGGGATTGGGCGTACTGCGATTCGTTCATTGGCGATAGTTCAGGTGAACCTGATTAGTCCATTTTCTACATGTACAACGATATGTAAACTGGAAATATTTATAATATGTACAGTGTATATTGATATGTATGTATGAATGTATTTATATTGTTTTATTAGGGAAAAAAAGCGAATACAGTATACGCATAGACTAACTTTTTGTTCAAGGCCCCCTTCAAAGCGATCGTGTGCACAGTGATATACCAAACAAGTCACTTGAATATCAACACCCGAGACAGATTAATAAGACAATGAATTGCGCCTTAGTACAATAGAGAAACGGCGCAGTGCACATGAGAATGGTAGTTGCAGCGCATGGGAATGAGGTAAAACGGAGTTACAAGCGCAGTCTATATACGTAATAAATGACAGCGGAACTATTATTACTATTTATCATGAGAAGAAAGAAAGTTGCAGGTGCACTGCACAGTAATTCTCTTGACAATGTTATTTAGCGCTCATTCACAGAGCATTCTATTTTCATGTTTCATACTCTGTTCCAACATCTATTGTCTTTGCATTGAATATGTCTACTTTTGGAGAGAGACTGCTTTTGTGTACGGCGACGCTGCAGCAACGAGGCTTTAAACAATATTTTCACTTAAAATATACAATTGGTAAAAATAATTATTATGTATGCATAATAATGTAATATATTACCATATCATTTACCACCTATTAAATCAACTGCTGTATATTATTAAACTATGTACTGACTTAATATTAGTATTAAGTCTTGTTTAATTTCTTTTACATCAACACCTTCTCCCTGATACTCTCCCTCCCTTACTGATTTTACCCTTGCATTTGACACTTGTCTCTGATAGGTTCAGCTGACAATACAAATCGACAATTATAGCACATCCTATCAGATGGGGCGTGACCAGATAAAAAGTGAACCTCGCAATCAGTTGTGGCTTTTGCATTAAAAGATGGCCCCTGCCTCCCTTTTGCTGCCATCCTGTATAGCGTGGCCCGTTATCCCGCCCTATTCCCTAAAGTAAACAAGTTGAATTCGAATGCTTTTTTGTTCCTCTGAAAATGTTTGCATCACCATATCATCGTAATATCGACATTTCCGTCATGGTAAACGAAGGGCTCTATTCTTTTTTTTTTCCTTTTTTTTTTTCACGGCAATGCAGCAATGGGAAGATGTGATCGTCACACAATCAGACATCTTACCACGTGACAGGTTCGCTTTCAACTTTTTTTGGGCTAAACTTGTTGAAACTTGTCATTGATAAAGTATTATTGGAGAGTTTACTATCGCAAGTCCATTTATATATTTAAGTTAACGTAAGAGAAAGTTCATGTGCGACGGGAGTTTGTTCAGAATCAGTTATATTGTATGGGGAGAATTTTTTGCATTCTTTATCAGAAAAATGGTTTCACTAGTACGAGTATTACCTCTCCGTTTTCCCTAACCATACATATATGACGAGGCATTCTCTCACCCACAAATCAGGCAATCTCCACATTGTAGCACAATAGTAATCTGTCAGTGGTCACCTGTCAAAATATTTCATAACAACAACAACAACAACAAATCTATTAAAACTTGGCGCATTGAGAGTGGGGAGGGGGGGATGTATTGGGAGGCCAGTCTCACGTCAATAGATATGTAATGAAAATCTAAACATTCGCCATCTACCTATTTTTTTTCCCGCCCAATTGACAAAAAAAAACAATTACAAAAACATTTGGGGGGCAAGGATTAACATTGGGGCAGGATGGTGATACGGTTTTACACTGGGAAAAAAAAAAGGCGGGTGGGAGTGAAAAGGAATGCCGATATTACAACAGATAATGCTAAGAGTTTAGTGGGCGCCGAATGACATAAGAACAGATAATGACAGATCATCAATCTATTGGAGAAATGTCTCTGGACCCGTATTGTACTTGAAAACTTATTTCGCATTAAAGTTTACTCGATTGTAATACATAGTCCGTGTTAGGTTTTATACTACTTGTTTGAGATAACGATATTGGGTCCAGATCTTGTACAATGACCGCAATGTCAAAAGTGTAAGTACGAACTTTATAAAGTGGGGAGAGAAACAAAGATATTCATTTATCTATAAATGGAAGGTTATCCATCTGTTAGTTTCCAAAATAGCGGAGAAGTTTAATAATCGAATTTGATGATATTGTTTACTGCTATTGTCATTTCTGTTGACGATGTCATTTCTGTTGTTCCGGTGTTGCTTTTATTTGTTGTTATTATTGCTGTATTGGGATTATTATTATGAATATTATTATTATTGTTACTAACTATTATTTGCATCTTAATTATTATTATTATCATCGTTATCATCATCGTTATTATTATTGTTGTTGTTGTTCTTATTATTATTATTATTATTATAACTGTTATCAATTTATTATTCAATGTACCCGACTCTTGCTTATCTCTTCCTGTTTGTTCTGTTGGGAAAGAATGACCATCGTACTACATGTCTTAAAAACATGGTAGACTTAACTCGTTGTGAAGTCAAAAAGACTCAAAGTATACAAGGGGTTAGCCTTCATTTGGATTGGTCCAATGAAGTATAGGGACAGAAAATTTAATAATTAACCCATGCATATGTTAATAGCACACAGTTAGTTTGTCATTCTCACGTGATCGTTATGTGGCATTGAAACAGACAAAGACTTCGGAACGTTTGCTATAAAATTGGAACGTAGATCCGGGATACATAACCTTTGTAATAGCTTAAGTCCACTAGAAAAGGGGTATCTGTCGGCGAGCAAATACATTGGATAGTTTTCTCATTTAACAGAAAACTCATTCAACTTTATCTCGCGCAGATCTATTTCTTTCGAATATAAAGGGAATACGATACGTTTAACAGTTCTGAGCCCGTGAAATCATTCTATGACATTGCCTTTTTTTGTTGTAGCATGCCTACCAATATAGGGTAGTAACATTAGTATTAATATAGTAACGACGGTATGATGACATCATTATCTTAAGGTCTTTGCAATTAGTATGAACTTGATAGTTTCATAGTTTGTGCAAATCACGAGACTCAACATGTGACATGCTAGTCTCCTTATCTGATGTAAAATTAATGAAAAATTAACATCTCCAATTTGCAGCACAGACTGCTGAACAGGCGAAATTGTATGCGTATGTGGAGTTTGCACTAAAGTGTTGAATTTCTTTTTTTCATGGTATTCTATCCGTTCACCCATTGACATGAAAAGCAACATTCATAATTCAAGATTAACAAAAGCAAAAGTCAAGGTTTAGTACAAGCTATAAGTAAACAGGAAAAATACATTATATGTGTGTCTTACTTTACAGTTTACCGTGCTTGCATAGACACTCTTTCCTCACTGTCGATTAAGGCTGGCTAAACAATCCTCTTCTAATCAATCACTCAACTCCATTATGGTTTACGTTTAACGCATCAAATTCCGTTATGATAATACAAGATTTGTTGCTAAACTCGGAAAACGCGTATAAGGATCGTAATAACCTTATAGCTAAAAATTGTCGTCGTTGCCGCCTTGCCATCATGTGGGCAATAGTACTTCTAAAAGTTCATATTTAAATATCAATTGCTCATAGTAAATAATGTAATTCATTGTCTACACATTGAGTTATACTCTTTCAAAAGAACGTTTTGGAAATGCTTCCAATCAAAAAATTGCCCTTCTTGATTATATTCCTTTGCCGAAAGATTGTTTCGTTAACGAAAGATTAAATCGACAGAAATAATCGCCTAAACGATAAAACTTTCTATTTTCAGTACTTTAGCGTGATGTACGTTAGCCATCCAGAGAAGTGAATGTATCTTCGGCATTAACTGACACCTTAATTGAACCGGGAACGTTATCAAGGCTGTAGTGAGAGCACGTTGAACGCTCTCAGTTGACTGCATATTACAGTATTAAAGTTCAACCTTGTCATTTTCATTTTGCGGTCCGGTCCATTCTCGACGTTCTTGAATCTTGTATCTTTCGCAAAAATGGTTTTCCAAACTTTGTTTTGTAGGAGATCTTGTTGCTTGACTTCCTAATTGCGTCATTATTTTTCATAAATATTATTATAATCAAAAGCCACTGCTCCCAAGCTCATGCTAGCATATTCGTATACTTTCGAAAATTAAACACAAAATCGTTTGTTCGATTTCTGCAAAATCATTAATACTAAGTCCCAAGAAACAAAAGAGTACATGATCGTAACTTTGCACCATGTGGTGACTATTTTACTTTCGATTGGAATGCTCTTATTAAAAATAAACCGACAATCGCTATAGACTACTTTTGTTGAAATTAGTTTTGACTTGTCAATTTGTTGGTCACACATTGCACACAATATATTAGTCGCCTACATTTTGTGTTACGTTTTTCATCGGACTTTCTTAGCGATGTCTCGGGTATCTAATAATTCCTACAACGAATGGCTAGACGCAAGCGTTCGAGAAGGCTTAATCTACTGCTGTCGAGAAAATGACATCAAAATAGATTCTCGACATGTCGGCCAAGGAGCGTTTGGAGTGATGTATAAGGCAACGATAAAGAAGAAGAGCGGTATTGGAAGCCTTGCTAAGTCAATCCGAGGCAGAAAGCCCAACATTCTCTCTGGCATGACTGTTGCAGTGAAGATTTTGTTTCCGGCTGAACATGGAGTTTGCGAGGAAGACTTGCATCGACGATTCGTCAAAGAGGTTACTATTGCCCTCTGTCATGTTTGTCGCATTTATATCTCTATGAGTAACCCTTGACATTCATGCTTTATTTAGCTGAAACATCACGACGAAGCGAAAGATCATCCCAACATTATTCAGTTTTTAGGTCTATACAAGGGTATGATAATTTGATTGTCTTATAACAATACAATTCCATATTAACCTAATTTATGAATGTAGACAAATTTGATAAATATCATATGATTTTTGAACTGGCTGACGGTGGAAATCTGCGCGAACACTTAAAGAAATGCTTTGATGATTTGACTTGGAAAGACAAATACAAGTTGGCCTTAGAAATTACCAATGGATTGAAGTATTTGCATGAACTGCACATTATTCACAAGGATTTGGTATATATCAGATATTAATCGGGTCTTCCGAATTCGTACCACTCACGAAGTTTAGCTAATTGACTGTTTGTATATAATAATACATAGTCTTCTAGTAATATTCTTATTAAATCAGGAGTTGCAAAGATTACTGATTTTGGCTTGTCAAGCGTCTTGAAACAAGCAATGTCCAAATCACACGGTGATGGCGCGCCAGCATACAAGGATCCGGCATCTTTGAGGAACAGTTCATATAAGGGTGGAAATAAATCCGATATGTTTAGCCTCGGTGTAATATTGTGGGAAATATCTAGTGGAAAAGTCCCATGCGGAGAACGTATTAAAGTTACTGATATTATTGTCTACAGACTTAATGGCTTTCGTGATTCTCCATTTCCCGGAACACCTGAAGAGTATGTTAATCTTTACTCAGAATGTTGGGATGAAGACCCTAATCAGCGACCATGTTGTGAGACTGTTTATAAGAGATTAACTTATTGTGATAAATTGAATAATCTTAATGAATCATTGGAGACTGAGGCAAATGATGCAGATGCATTGAGTAGAAGGGGAGAGGTCTATAAATTACTAAAACAATATGACAAGGCATTAATTGATCTCAACAAATCAATAGAGATCAAACCAAATAATGCACATGCATTAAGAATACGGGGTGCTCTCTATTTGAATCTTGGAGAATATCATATTGCATTGACTGATCTCAACGAGTCATTGAAGGTGGAACCAAATGATGCAAATGCATTGAGACTAAGAGGTCAGGTGTATGAGATGATTGAACAGCATGCTATAAGAGGTGCACAGGTATTTTGAAAATATTATGACAATTTGCTGTGCTGTTTAATGTATTATACTAATACTAAAGTTAATTTCTATTTTTGTATCTGTTCATGTACAAAAATATATACCGGATGGCGCACGCGGAACTATTACTATAGGAAGTGGAACAATTATAAATTACCTGGATAAAAACATCGCCCACACCCAAAATTATTAATTGCACAAAGAATCGTACATAGTAATTATGTCTCAATTTAACATATTATATTCAATTAATGTATTGGATATATAAATCAATATCTAGTAGACCAAAATATACACACGTTTATTAAAAAATATGTTTGTAACCGTAATATGAGAAATAAACGTCCACCATACCAAGTCAAGATGTCAACTGTCACGGGAGAACGGATGGCTATCGACGACTCGGTTAATGATTTAGCTACGATTCGATAATAATAATGCGTGGCCTCCCTAATTTATCGCAGATTAAAATTATGTCACTAGGATAAATTGTAGTAAATAAATTGGTCGACGCGGCCAGTAATCTCTATAAGAAAAACAAACTCTAACTGAATTCGATGTGCACAATAACAGTCTCAAACAGTCACATTATCGATTGTCCTTGTCCACAATCCATAAAGTGACTTTTGATGCGCTGATGTCGCCCGAATAGCTGCTAAAGATCGTCAAATGCCAAGATACTAATATATAATCTTTTTTTTTAAACTATCGCCCTTTAAGTAAATTACGTGAATTGCATTTGGGAAAATAAATACGAATGGGAATTCGCAAATTCTGTTGCATTGCGGAAAACGGAGCGTTGTATTCATGGAGGTGGCAAAAAGCATTATATCTTTAAGACCCTAAATGTGTACTCAATAATTGGCAGTTAACAAGCCTCGTTTATGACCAATAATATTTTTTTTTTTGATTTATTCTTCGTTATGCTGGCGTAACTTTTTTGAAATACAGTATAAAGTAAGCTATCAAACTGTTAATGAACAAAGCTGCTCCTTTTATTACATTATTGAAATTGATTCTGTGCCCTACCATTAAAAACTGGCACATTGAGAATTCAGACAAAGGAAATGTATTCTATTTTTAAAAACGTGTCGATACATTCGTGTGATATACTTGTATACTAATTACTATTATATATAAGCGTTTATGCTACATTGCCCCCCAAGTGCTTGAATTTGGCAAAAGGCTCAGTCATACTCTTATAGCATATTACTTTAGCATGACAAGAACAATGAAGATAAAGTATTAGATGATAAAACACCTCTTGCCCTGGGAAGATGTACGAACGTAATGTAAGTAAATAAGAAGGGAAAAAGAGCGACTTGACAAACAAAAATCTGTAATGGTAATACAATATGCGTGAAACGATGTACCTGCGGATGTGCGATGTAACACATTGAAGAACGAACATTTGTTTCAACTTGAATTCTTTTAAATTCAACCTGTTACTATGTCGTTGGCATCAGAAACTGTTAATAATCCAGCAATAGATGATTTGGTTCAATCCGATTATGCGGGCGGATACAATAAACTTGAATGGATACTTTACGAGGAAATTACCTATGTAAAGCCGACTCAAATTGACAACGTTTACTGCGCTATTCGCAAACATAATGGTTATGAGTATGAAATTATGTTGCTGTTACTTGGAAGTAGTGAAGCATGCACACCAACACTTGTGAGTGAGTTGGCCAGAATATACTCACTTCCAACACACAAGTACAATAACAATGACAATAACTTTAGACGATATTCTGTATGGCTTAAGGAACGCAACACAACCGCATAAAGAGATTCACCAACTATAATAACAGCTATTACATGATAAACTCTTTTATCATTGTTATTCTCGATATGGCTTCTGCTCCACATGTGAATACTCCGATGTGCATTTGTAATTATAACAATTATCCGATGGGTGGACTAGCAACAATCAACAACTCGATGACTTTATTAAGAAATCTCAACTACAAACAAACTCACCAAATGACGCCTATTTGGAATGGATTCCACGAGATTGTGTTGATATTAGGGGAGATGGAAGCGGACACTTGTATGGTCTACCTACTCTTGAAGACGTTAAATTGATTCTACTTGAAACGACAGACGAGACACATAATATATATTATGCCGAGGTAAACTATTTACTTATGCGTCATGTATTATTTTCACTAGTTAGTATTTTAAAATTTAAACAATATTACGTATTTACTACGCAATGTCTCTTTATAATATGATTGCGTCCTATTGTGTACTAAAGTATATTGCTAAAGTGGACAAATTGAACATAAGAAATGACAGTTAATATTTTTGTAAACATTTCATGTGCCATCGCATTATATAATAAATGATTGAATATATTAATATGGAGAAAGAAAGAAAGAAAGAGGATTTATTATAAATAAAGTTTAAACACGAGTATCGTATGTTAATATTACTGATGACGCCATTAACCCCTATCACCCTCTATTACTATGATATCCAACCCCGCATATATCAACGAAATTGGCCGGTCCCGTGAGGTTGATATTAGAGAGAGTCGACTGTAGTAAATTAAGAAACTGTGAATATTGCGCGAAATTTCTGATTTCAATGAACGCAGAACTGACAATGCCTTCTTATCGAAAACGAAGCCACTGGGCGGATTATAATGAAATTATAGGCTACGGTTCATATTCCTTGTCACTTTTTCTTTGCCTTCTCCGTCTTCGTCTTCTTCGGCGTTCTGTACGGTTGCAATAATATCATTATCGGTAAAACGTTCAACAGGTAATTGCTCATCAATACAAATTTACTCAGTAACAACGGCTCATCCATTCGTAATACAATGCTGTATGTCTTCAATCGTGTTATCCGTACTGATATTAACACTTTCATATGACATTAATATTGAACCTCATGATAATAATAATAACATAGTAATAGTAATGTTGCGACCTGTTCTGGAATTTGACCCATTCTGAGAACGGTCAACCTGTTTCAAGATTGTCACAAATTTTTTCGACGTTATTGTGTGCACTTTATTGGTGCAAGAGATTATTCTAATGTGACAATCCCGAAACGGGTCCAATCCTAGAACGGGTCATAACAATAGTAAGTTCTTTGTTATAAGAAACTATTGGAGAATCGTTCCCATTGGCGGCGGCGATTTTTTTCTTGTGAATCATCGAGACTGAGAAGCGTTAGTGAACAAATGGATCCCATTTTCATTGATTGCTCACAAAATTTTGCACCTTCTAGTGTGAGTACTTTCCAGACATCCAACTTAGATGACATCGTTATCATTGATCAAGCCAAGGACAGCGTGGTTAGAAACGTTAAGCGCTGCCTAATGTCCTGGAAAAGTTAAACTTAGTCCCGGAGAAAAACTACCTTACATGACGATCCCTCGAGAAACTCGAGATAAAATTAGTGCAAGGTAAGAATTCATTAATGCGTTATTTTTCATATGGAGTACTGAAAATATTTATAAACTTGAAGGGACACGTAAAAAATGGAACTACAATGAGATGCTTATACTGCGTGAAACCATTTCGGAACATTGGGAAAGTCTTAATAATACCAAAAAACAATGCTCATAGAGCCAGAATTTAGCAAGTCATGTTCACAAAAAATCACCTGGCAGAACGCTGACTGTTTCTAGAGAGAGGTCTCTTTTCATTAATTCTATGTAACAATGTTTTTGTATTATATTGTGCTTTATTAAGATGGGACAAGGCTATAAACTTGTAATAAGCATAGGGAGCGGAAACGATGCATTTTGAGTACGAAGAACAATGCAAAAAATATTCGAAGATGATACAGTTTTTAGTCCAGTTTATAACTCCGACAATAGAAAGGAGATGGGTTCAGCGAACAGAAGCAAAAAGGCATAAAAGTCCTTCGGCTACTTTAGACACTATTAAAGAACTGCACAAACAAATTGAGAAAAGAAAACTACTAATTTCAGAGCAAACTGCTGAATATTTTAGGAAAATTGGTTTCGACATTAAAATGAGTTGAATGAACATACGTCAGAAAGGCTAAACAGACGCATAAAAAATTTTTAATTTTATTAATAATTCAAATAAATCAAAAAATTTGTTTGTAATTCGAGATGCTAACACCCTGCGAAAAACTGTTCTCATTTTTTTATATACTTGAATGCGGGGGGCGTGAATAACAGGTATAGCAGACTAACTAAAAGGTTGTTTCACTTATGTGTAGCACTACGTAAACTTTGCGAATTTATATCTTCGTTAACATCTACTATTTCTCCACTACCATCACCAACGCGTTTTTGATCATATTCGCCAGTGTCCCAGATATCATCACAATCAATGCATAAATTGTGAAAAATACAACAACATCGATCCACATTGTTTCCATATCCGTAATTTCCATAACGTGCACCACCTGGATTTGAGTTTTCCAAATGCCCGCTCAACTGCCATGCGGCAGAAGAAAGGGGGCTTTATTAAATTTTCGTTGAGATGTAGTGAGTCTTCTTCCGGATTGCTCTTTAAAAGGAATAAGAAGCTAAGGTAAAAGAAGCAAGGCTAATCACCGAGTGACTAGACAGATTCTATATAAGTTTATGTAAGCAGTAAATTATATTTGAGAACTCCCGGCTGCCCCGAATGGATCTAAGTAAATGGTCTACTATCGCCATCAAAACAACGCTATAAAATCCTTTCAATCAATATAACGATTGTGATATAATGTCTTAGGTCGCTGGATCGGAATATGCAATCCGTCCACCAATTACATTTGGAAGCCGATTAGTATATCTGGAGGAGAAAAACTTTCAACTGCTTCTTGGAGCACGTCACCTGCAGTCCACGGAATAATTCTTTTAAGCATATCAAGAACAGACTGAAAAAAACGTCGAGTAAATTCTGGACTGAGCCTTGGTTAATGCCAAACGTGGTTTCTAATTGGCGATAACCCATCGGATTACTAGCCGTTACAGAACAATTCCCACTTATGTGTTTGAGTTTGGAAATTAGATGGAATGTTGAGAGATTACTTCTAATAATCTATAAACATTGATCGTTTGATGCGAAAATGAGATTTAGAATTCGGCATTAAGGTAAGGGAAGTCAACCCAAAAACCATGTGTCTTAAATCCGTCCAACTCGCGAAATAATTCTCTTATTCTCATTTTCATTATCAATGAGTACAAGGGCATCCGTTTCCAATAGTAGTGTATATTTATTCCTTTGAGTAATAGTAGATTCGGTAATTGCAGTAATTGCGGCAATAATGATAGATTTTGTTTTCGAGTAAATGGCATGTTTTAATTAATAAAAAATCTGGCACTTTTTGTAATTTTTTAATTATAAATAAATTAGATATTGACATACGTTTCTGACAAAGAGGCGTATTACGATCTCAGTAGTAAAACATTCGCGCGTTTTCTTTTTTAGACAGCTTGCTTCTCCACCATCCATTGCTTAAAGTGGACCATTAAAAACATGGTAGTTCTTGTGGTAAACGTGCCTGTCGGTGAATGAACCGGACCATTAGAATTGATGACAAGTTCAATCTTAATCGCCGACAACCTTCGCCCACGCTTCTTTTACCAGGGGATAATAAAATATGGTCCGGTGCAAAAAGGTTGATACACGAAAATCATCACCTGAATTTAAAACTCGCCAATCAAGTCATGTGAGCGTACAAATTATACAAAAGGTAAGGAATGTTTCAAACTTGAGATTTCTTAACAAACCCTTGTTCATTTCTCTTCTCATGGATGACTTGGAACGAGATCGAAGTTTCTTAAGGTTCTTATTCCATGATTATTTGGGTAACCTGCTATTATCAATCACTCAACCGCGAGCAATTGTAGTTAAATTTCGCTTCACCGTTTAATATAAACTGCAATAATCAATCTTTTCTTCTTACCAGATTCAATCATCTCTTTAATATTTCTACATCCAAAACCGTTTATTAGTCCTTTTTTATTTATTTTATTCCCCTCGAACAGATTTCTTTTTCATAGTTGCGTGAATATACCTATACAGATGGCAAGTCTTATCTGGACATTACATATAATTTAACGTACCTGAAAGGGAGTTTTTGCTTCATTGATGCAACATGGGATGAGTACAAAAGTGTACATTTTCATGATCATTTTTCTCTTATTGGGCTGCCGTGTCCTTCATCCTATCTCATTGTTATTGCTCCCGCTGTAATTACTTAGATTTTGATGTTTTTATTATAGATTTGTTGTTTTATTTCGGCGTTCAATTACGGTGCGAAAAAGAAACAACGCTGTCGGAGTCATTTGACGTGACCTTCACTGTCTAATAAAGAGTCACCTGCTCGCATGCTTTCCTTCTTGAAGCTCGCCATAACGTGGGAAATAATATCCGAGTTCAAATACAACTCAAAATGATGTCTCCTTTTCCAGCAGCCATCTATCCTCGTCGCAAAGCGAAGATAGGCAAAGTTGTCAACCATATAGACTCATTCGGGCGGAACAATCTGGGAGTGATGGCGTGACCCATCGTCCCATATATAAGCTCGGTAATCTGAATGAATACGAGAATACTCCAGGAATATTGTATAAGCCCATAATCAATTATGCTAAAAAAGAATCCACTAAAATGAGCACAGAAAGAGCGCCAACGTTCTAATGGAGGCTTAATTACATCTTTCATTTAAGTGTTGTTTAGAATCGCATCTCATGATAAGTACATAAGTCAATTCACATCAGAAAAGAAGTAGTCTTTTCAACAGAGTTGATGTGACGTAGACCGTGTGTTGACCAGATTCTATAGAGTTCCGAAGAACGAACAAGGATAATCAAATCATCAAGGACCAGCTAGTTGTAGATAATACAGTGTCGGTAGTTTCTTGCCGCCAAGTTCCGCATAGGGCAACTTATGACTTGCTCCAGGGTGAGCCCTTATAAGTATTTATTTATTGTTCATAAAATAGTTTGCTAATTTATATCCACTCGGCAGCGGAACCCAAATCCAATTTCCCGCTATCCTAGTCACGTCAATAATATCAACGAACGAAGTATACAATTTATTCTTCATAGCAAATATTATCAAATCGTAACCATTGCCAATTTCTCTCGATAAACAATAGGTCCTTAAACCCCCAATTCCATTAATTCTTCGCACAGTTCTTTCGACTTTGATTCCTAGTAACGTCCTTTCGTAAAGAAACAAGCCACTGGAGCAATCTGATCTGCAACTGTCTCTCTAGCTCTACGCTTGAAAAACGGTGATCGGGAAGGCGATTTAGGCAACAACAAGGGAGTACCATGTGCATCATCATTATTCTCTCCGGGTGGGGTATCGTCGTTAGAAACATCCTTTATTGTGACCTCTTCTGAAGGCTTGTCGTAATTATGCGATGAAGCCAAATTTAGTCCATGAGTGTTCCTGTTTGAAAATTTCGCACGTGAGTCATAAGAAGAGACATCCGCTTGATGATGTTTACGTGATGATGAAGCGGGTATAGAGTGATCGACACGATCTGATGGACGCGGACGGAGGGATGTTTGAGAACGGTTAATAGGAGAATCCAGTTGACTGGATGTACTTGTTCTTCTGCCATATGGAACAAAATCACGTCGGCCATAAGGTGAAGGGTCTCTCCTCCGAAAAGGTGAAGAATCTCTCCTTCTGAAAGGTGAACGGTCTCTTCTTCCGTATGGTGACAGTTCCCTTCTTCCGTATGGTGACGGTTCCCTTCTTCCGTATGGTGACGGTTCCCTTCTTCCGTATGGTGACGGTTCTCTTCTTCCGTATGGTGAAGGATCTCTTCTTCCGTACGGTGAAGGATCTCTCCTCGAATATGAATTACTATCTCTCCTGCTAGCGTACCCCGAACTTCCGCCACGGTCATCATATTCCATTCTATTTCGAATTCCACCGATATCATGCTGTATGGAATGGCTTGCGCGTCTACCATATGAATTATCAATTCGACCACTTCCGTATTGACCCTGTATCGACCCTAATCCATCTACTCTATCATCACCAGTTACATCAAGAATTCGTCCTCTTGTCACAGATCGGTGACCAATTAGATCGTTCTGACGCACATAATTTGATCTACGATCAGAAACAAACCGATTTGATTGGCGTTGAGATGGCCCGTGCAAGTGTAAATTGGTTTCAGACGACTCGGACAGAGACGAGGATGGATGATATGGGTAAGTCGTTGATCGAGGACGTTTGATTGATAAGTCAGAGTCTCCTGCATCGAGATGATCTCGTTCTATATCGAAGCTTGTTGATGAACGTCTGTGGTTGGTTTTATTTACGGGGTATTATTAATAACCAAACCAATGCGTGTGCATCCATAACTTAATCAACAGTCTGCTTCAATTCATACAGAAACTTAAATAGTAAATACCTGACCATGTCTCTACATTCTAATCTTCCTCGGTCGACATTCGGCCCAACCCGCTTGTTAATCCCTTCTGAACCTGATATCAACTCGTCATCCTCAAGTGCACTCCGACGACGATTTATCGGCTCACGTCGTCTTTGCGAGGATGTTGGTTCGATCATGTCAATTTCATCAGGACGATGACGTTTCTTGACCCCTGTGCTTATGTCATCTTCTGTTGGTCTACGACCAACGCTACGGCCAGAATAATCCTGGATCGACGCGGAAACGGAATGGTTTTCAGATTTGGACAATGAGCGAGCATGTGTTCGAGTCATATCTTCCAGTGGTATATTCCATCGGCTTTCGTGCGTAATTTCGTTGTAGTAATAAGGTTTTCGATGTCGCTCAGAAAAGCACTTTCGCCATGGATAAGAAATAGAATCTTCCGGAGTATGAGACAAATGCTTTTGGCCTCGCGGGTCGTTCATCTCAAGGCTTCGTTCTCTACCTCTCTCTGCGTCTCTATCCAGTTTTCTGTCCATATTTATTTCCTGACTTCTGTCTCTGTCTCGGTTTCCTTCCATGCTCCTTTCCTGGTCAGCTCTTTCCTCACGCCCTCGCACATCTGTATTGCGATATTTGCTGTCATTCTTACTGTTATCTCGACCACCTCTATAGCCTGGAGATCTTTCTTCACTCTTATCGCGAGGTCCGTTTGGGCTCCTGTCATTACTAAAACTAGGCAGATTGTTTGTTCGATCATCATTTGCTCGATCCTGGTACTTCTGAGGATGTCTAGAACTGTCACGATTGCCAACACTCACAGAAGATCGTCCGCTATCTCCTCTATGTCTCAATTCTTCAGAATTGTTATCTGTTGTCCTATCTTTTTGACTGCCGGCGAACTCATCATTATTGTTCTCTTCTTGTCTGTATACGTTATCAATCTCGCCATTGAGAGGTTGTGCCGTAGATTGATCCCAATTTTTAATAATATTTCTTCCGATGTTATCATTATTGTTCTTCTCTTTAGCCTCGTTTTTCTCACTTTCTCTATCCCAAATTTTAAGTCTCTGATCATCTTCATAATTAACTGAATTGACAGGCGACCGACTGCGAGATCTCTTTGTAAAGTCCTCTTCTTTAACATCATCTACATCTAACTTAGCCTGAGTGGTTCGATCTCTATCAGAAGCCTGAAACTCATCATCATTATTAGACAAAGGTTCGCCAGAAGTTCTCCTAAATTGTCCTTCGAACTGGTTAGGACGTGTCTCTTCAGCTTGTTGATGTCTGCTCGACGCTTGACCCACGCTCGAACTACGTTCTGCGCGCCCAGAATCCGTAGGCGATATATCTCTTCCATGCTTATTCACTTCAGCATCTTCCTCATAGGACTTGGTCGGAGTTCTGCTCCTACTCCGGCTCCTGGTTTTGCTTCTGCTCGTGCTTTTACTCCTGCTTCTACTCCTGCTTCTGCTCCTACCCATAGGAAATTCTCTCTGAATAGATTGTATCAAAAGAACTATTTAATCAGACTCGGCCTTGTTTTTTGGTTTTCTAAACAGCAGTATTCCGCCCGAGCTAAAAATGTTCCTCAACAAACCTCTGAAGGTCGACGCCACCGGAGCCGCGGAATATCCAATGGCGAGTCACGAGCACCAGTCGTTCCTAGTCGGTCAAACACCGAGATACGACTAGGCTCACCGTAGATTACACTTTCGGCACCAAGATTTTTGCTTCTCTTGTTAAATCTTGGACTTTGCAGTTGAAGGCCGTTGTTGGTAACAGTGTTCTGTTGGTTTGGGCGCACGTTTTTTCGATATTGACTACGTTCCGCCGGCATAGCAAAGGAGATACTAGTATATCGCTCGTTGAAGTAAGCTGGAGAGTTTACTCTGACAAGAGATAACGGAGGAGACAAAGATATGAAGAGCAACAGACTCGTTTGTGAGTGGTTTCTCGGAGAAAAATTTCCACCTCACGTGAATATCGATAACGATAAGGTTGTGCAGTATCCATTTGTGGGTGAAAATCGGGGACTGAGGGGAAGAATTAAGAAACTGAAAACAAAGAAGCGACGCAGCATCAAAAACTCTGTTGCATAACTATTATTATTATAGCATTTAGGGAATGTTTTGAAAATACATAGTTGATGATTCGTACTATTCATGACATTCCGGAACATGCATAACGTGGTCAATGTTCCACCTATTATATCCCAGTCAAACATTCACGTGCATGCGAAAAATATGTTCGCTTGTGGTCCCTGCAGGAAAGTGTAATGAATTTCTACATTCAGGCAGCAGAAATTCTTAGTAAACTCCAGCATCACGAAGGGTCTATAAAGTCTTTAACCTTTAGTGATGATGTCAAAGATAAGAAAAGAATGTACGCCATTGTGTGTGAAACGTTAAAGTGTAAGTTTGTGCTCAACCTGACATCTTATCTATGCAAGAAAACTTTCGAATTCATTCTTTTTGTTTCACTACAGATACGGCCTCACTCACAACAATAATCAACAAGACTAATCTTCTCGCTCAAGAAAAGAGGCTATATCATAATCTTGCTTTGGTATTACTTCACGATCTTCTTTTTACTGATCATGGAATTCAAGCATCAGATGGCATATATAAAAGAGCTGTTATAAAACACGAAATTCAATTAAGAGCCGAGTTAGTGAGATTGAAAATCCGTAAGCGTGTTAAAAGCAATGAAGAGTTGATACCGAAGGACATTAGAAACAGTGGTGAGCCACGATCGGAAAGAGTAACTTGGTCAGAGTCGGGGAAATAGACGATTGTTGGATTTATTCTGTGGTTTTTTTGTTTGAACAGGAAATATACCGCGTTACGTACGTGTAAACATCTTAAAGACCAATGTTGAAGAAATTATTAAGCATTTTTGTGAGCAGGATGGATATCGGTGTATCGATGAACCTACTGATTTAACGGACTTAAGGCAAGTAATGATTGATGCGATATTCCAGCGAAACTTGGACGTTGATTGTAAATCAGGTATTCATCAGTATTATCTTACAGCTATAAGACTATTAAGAGGGATGTCCATATTCCAGAACTCCTTGTCTTCCCACCTAATACGGATCTTCACGATCATGGGCTTCTTTTGTCGGGGCATATAATACTTCAGGTATTATGTTAACCTCTATCTGCGTACTACTGCTTCTACTTTTCTCCTTGTGCTTTATTATTGATACTCGCAAAAATCTTCCAACCAGGACAAAGCATCTTGCTTTCCAGCCTACATTCTCTCACCGCCGAAAGACGCGCATGTAATTGATGCATGTGCCGCACCAGGAAATAAGACTACTCATTTATCAGCCATTATGAAAAATACTGGGAAGATATGGGCATTTGACATTGACAGGAAGCGATTAGACCTCCTAAAGACTTTGACCGAACGAGCTGGATGTAACAGTATCCTTTTGTCTGATGATTGACGGACGTATCCATAGTATTTAAATAGATACTATCTCTTAATTGCACTGGGTTGTGAGACATCGAAGCTATTCATTGTTCTTTCTTGAATGTGGATCCGAAGGATGACAAATTTGCAAATGTTGAATATATTCTTTTGGATCCTTCTTGCTCGGGAAGCGGGATTGTAAGCCGATTGGATTGTTTGATAGATTCGCTGGGTAAGGACGAAACAACATAAGATATGTGCCGTCTGCATGTTCTATGATTTTGCTATCATCACTATAGTTAACATCATCTTTGTTTACAAGAGAACAACCTCGTGTCAAACAAAGAGCAAAAGACATGTCATCCAAAAGATGCACGGTTACAACATCTGAGTGAATTCCAAACTCAACTGATTCTTCATGCATTCAAATGTACTTATTTATCACGAGGTTATTCGAAATTTTTTCCAACGGTTGTAAAAACATTCAAAGTGCTCAACACATATTTACTTTTATTAGTCCCTTCCGTTAAAAAAGTCACTTATTCGACATGTTCGATACATGCTGAAGAGAATGAGCGCGTTGTTAAGGAAATATTACAGACGACGGATGATTTCGTTCTCGCTGATAGGGACAAAGTGATTCCCTCCTGGGAGCGAAGAGGTGATAATAATGAGTTGGCTGAAGGTAGTAATTTATTATGATTGACTTGGTAAATAACTATTAGTGAATAACGACTTTATCTATTAAGACACAGCGCAAAAGCTTATCCGTACATCCCCAGAGGATTCAACTAACGGATTCTTCGTAGCCTGTTTCGTAAGGAAAGTCAAGCAATACGGTTCTAATATCAATAAGCGGGAACGACATAAGGGCGATGAAGAATACATGGTTTCTAATGACGGGGAGAGTGTTGTTAAGCCGAAATACAATTTAAAAAAGAGAAAGAAGAGAAAGAAAAAGAAAAATGAATACGTTGTTAACAATAAAATCCATAATAATTAAATATGAACAATGCGTGTTAAAAGTTGCAATTTTCAACGTTATAACGTTGTTCTGGCAGAACCGTATACTAATGGATGGTTTTGACGCTTCGAATTTGACATATTTATATTCCATAATCCAAGATTAGCAGGTTCTACGCGTCTCGACTCCAAATAGGGCATCGTAATTCGCAGATCACGTCGACGCGTTTTTCGATATTTAAGGAAGAATATATCACAGAAAAAACCGATTTTTAGCTTGCAAACCCCACTTTTTACAGCCTGCTTGAAAATGGGTACTGCTACAAAGAACATCCGCAACAAGATTACGCTCAAGGGCTCCACTGAGACCATCGTTGAGTTCTTTGGTGTGTTTTCTTGAGAAATTTTATTACTGTTTAGGAATTTAATTAACATGACAATTCATTTCATTAGGCTATAGCATAAATAGGTAATGTTTCTATTTGTTCTTTGGCGGTACTTAAGCTTTTTATTCACACCGACTCTCAGTCTTCTTTTCCAGCGAGGAATATATCCTCCTGAAGATTTCAAAATGGTTAAGAGATATGGACTCAATATACTTGTGTCTGCTGATGAGAATGTTAAGAGTTATTTAAAAAAGGTCTTGTCGCAGGTCGAAGGTAAAATCGAATGAAGTAACATTTTCTTGGAACCTCGAACAATAAGAAAGCGTGTGTAAAATGATCTATGCTTGCATGCACAGAAACAAGCATCTTACATAATATTCTAATATTTAAATTTCTTGTTTTGACTAGCCTGGTTAATGGCGAAGAAAATAAGTAAATTGGTTCTGGCTATAATATCATGCGATACTCGTCAGACTCTGGAGAGGTGGCAATTTGATGTACACGTTGTCAAGGACAACGAGACTGAAGAGACTTCAAGAGGGATCGTGAAAGCAAGAAATGAGGTCAATGCAGAAATACAAGCGATAATAAGACAGATTACGGCGAGCGTCACTTTCCTTCCCTTGTTAGAAGACAAATGTAAGCTATTTGACAATGACAGAGTTCGTAGTGTTCTGAAGGGAGAAGATAGTCTTTTTAATGAAGATGCAGGGCTTTGGGAGTGAAAGCGTTAGTAGGAGTCGGTTCTCTGACATTGAAGATTCAACTTGTAATGTAGGTACATTTAATATTCTCGCATTCACTGACAAAGACGCCGAAGTTCCGAATGATTGGGGAGATTCTGATGCACACTTAATTCAGAACGCGGAGCAAGTCCGCTTGCGTTCATTTTCTACCGACTTTCACAAAATTGATGCTATGGTTGCTTATCGACTTGACGAAGAAGGAATATAAGATAATTGATGGGGGTATTCCGTTAATCGAATCTTCGTTTCGACAGCTTAACAGATTGAGGATAGAATAGTCACCCACTGATCACACATAGTTAACCGCGAAAATCGTTATTTTCAGTATTCTGTAAATGTCTAAAATGCTGTTGGAGAATAGAAATGTAACTTCATCCAATGTTGGGTAATACAAGTTAATGCAATTGATAGTTTTTGAATTTGATGGTTGAGCACTTACCAGCGGTTATAAATAAATTTGATGTTTACTCGCTTTGGCTGCAGTGCCGGCGCCATTTTGAATATGCATGAGATTTGCGCAACCTTTAACTGGAATGCGAAGAACTTGCCTTCCCCAACTACTTGGACGGTCGACCAAGTCTGTTGTTGGCTTCGAGGTCTTGGCCTAATGCAAGTCGACGCTGTGTGCCACGCGTTTAGAGGTAAATTCGTAACTTGAAGCGTGTAGACGGTAGTATGACTAGCAAATAATATTACTCACAAATGCAAACCGATTCAGATGCAATACCTGTGGAGATTGGGATATTAACTTAAATACAAGCACTATAATTATACACCGAGTTGGTGTCATTTATTAGCATATATCTATATACACTGGTTACGGCTTGCTAACGTTAATCCATTTGCCAACAGAGCATGAGGTTGACGGGTTACTGCTCTTGGGTCACATCAACAACGACGTATTAACTAAAGAACTTTGCCTCACATCGTGGGGAACCCGAACAAAAATACTAAAGGCTATTGAAGATCTTAAAGCTGGTGGGTATTAGTTTGTATCTTCCCAACCTGATGTTTAAATTAACAATAATAACTTCTATGTTGTGACATAGGTATCGAATCAGCTACAGCTTCACCGGTAGAGGTAAATGGTACACCCTCTTGGCAGTTTGTCCAGGAAAACGAAATAAGCCGCCTGGTACTCTCTGATTCGCAGACTGAAGACGAGGCTGCGGATGAATTATCGTACAGTGATGATTCTGAGATAGAAAGCGAAGATCAATATGTTATATTAAACGGCGTAGAGGCCGAAGCGGCTGGTTTTTGCGCTGTGAAATGCGGACAAGAAATACCGAAGGATGTTATTCAGATTATCAAGAACAAGTCTCGAAAACTTTCGTATGGGGGCACTTACGACGAAATGGGCGATGATGACATTCTTTTGCCATTATACGGGGATAGTGAAGATGAAAACAAAATGATGGACTCTGATTTGGAGAAAGAAGTTGAGAAGGAAGAGCAAACCGAGACTGAACGGGCAAAAAAGAGATATTTAGACTGTCAGAAGAGTATCGATAAATATATAGAAAATGTGCAAAAGAAATTAAAAGTTAAACACGAGGCTCTCAAGCGGGAAAAGCCAGAGAAATATGAACAGAAACGGTGGAACTTGTGGCGTAAATGGAGAAATCGGCAAGAAGAATTGAAGACCGAAATGGAACATTTAAATCAAAAAAGAATCCCTGAATTAATTGATGAGCTTCATAAAAATTTTGCTAGAACTTCTAAAGACTTTCTCAGACAATGTGGAATCTTGGACGTAAGTTTAAAAAGAATCTTTGAAATTGAATGGACACTTAATGTGCTCTCAGGTGGACAGCCCCACAAACCATCCAAGACCGGAGAGAAATCTGACATTTCTGGACAGTTTGCAACAAACGCGATCCTGACCGATGAAGATGATTTTGAGTCTCACAAAGAAGACAGCGAAATATCTGAAGATTCTTTGAGTGACTTTATTGATGAATCAGATCTTTTTATAAATGATGAGAGATTAGCTGAATTGCGGCGTGATGCAGGATTGCCAGTTATCCAGAATAATATAATTGAAAACAACGCTAATAATGGTAACGATGAGGATATTATGAACAATGGGGTTGTTGGATGCAATAACAGCAATGACCACAACAAAAAATCGAAAGACAATGTAAATAAAGACTGTGAAGCAGGTAGAGAAAATATTATAAATACCGATTATGGAACCAATACAAAAAGCGATAATAATCCAAATCATAACGAAGATAGCGAGATTGTTCTCGAGGAGATTGAAGAACGAACCTCAGCACCCATCGTTGATATTTCCTGCATAACTCCTGGAGCGATCGATGCCGATTGTTCGACTATGGATCTAGTTCTTTCATCGCCCGTGACAGAAAATTCTGTTGATACAATCTCTCCTGAAAGTGAACCAGAAGATACAGATACGCCAAATGCAATGGCTGATGCATCTCTTTTGGCTTTCTCTGATAGTAATGCCGAAAACATTACTCCGAACAAGAAATCAATCTTCTATGAAGTTTTCAGCCCTTCAACAACCCCACATAGCTTACGTGAACAACTTGTGGATGCATCCACGGTTCAAGGTGATGACGCACGACCCTCGTATCATCAACCGCTTTGTAATGACAATACCAGATCCTCACCTGCCCAACAGCTTGTGAGAAAGTCTTCATCACGATCAAAAAATAATGTTGAGTTTGGAACAGCATCCAAGCCTATAGATCTTGATGCTGAAGTGATCCTGATAACTAGTGATACTGAGGACGAGGGTTTTTCTTCAAGACAATCCATACGCAAACACATCAAACGCACTTATGACGCAACTTCAGAAACAGAAATGTCAGATGACGACATAGGTAAAATAGCTTACGTATCCGATCACGATTCTGAGTTCGACAACAATTATCTCGAAGATCTCGGTCCTGAGATGCGACATCTGATAGACGAGGAATTTATTAGATCAACTGCGGCGCCTGCGCTTTTTTATAAAATTAAGAAGATTGTAGATTCAGTAGTCTGTTATAATGAACCGAATGCTACATTAACGGAATATGTCATCTTAACACATATATGGAATGACTTCAAGGAGTTTGAATATAAAGAATTCGATAACGCTGATCATAGCCAGGCTATTAATAGGAACTTAACGAATAATGAACCAGTCGAACTCTTTGAAGAAGGATGTTTTGCTCAGTACTGGAAGAATCGTAAAAAGGCCGCTCAGAAAAATATCCCAAACTTGCTGAGTGTTGTTGCAAGAAACGATGACAGTCCGATGTAAGTGTCCTATATGTAATTGTAATTTAGCTTAATAATTTTGTGCTAATAACTGTTTGGTAGACCGAAGAAACGCCGACTTGAATCTGAAGCCATTGCTTCTACCCACAGCTCATTAACAGAAGACCTTGACATCCGTCACCCTGAAATTCTAGCAGAGATTGCCAATCAAACACGGAAAGGGAAAAATACCCTGAGAACACGAGTTCGACCTGAATCTGTCCGGACAATCACAATGAGAACTCAACGACGGGCCAGAGAAGCGGCATATCGTTTGAGATATGATCAGTAAGTTATAATACCGTTGTTGAGGCTGTTTAGTAGCAATTTTGATCGACATTACCGAGTGTTGTATATGTTATTGATTTAGACAGTCAGCTACTGATAACATGGGAAGAGCGGCAATCAACAGAGGCCATGAAGCGGAAGAAGATGATATATATATTCCGTTAGAGTTATCCTCAGAGTTAAAACAATATCAGGTGATTTACTTGACGAGAAGATCCAACTATGTTCGTATAATTTACTAACTGGTAATGTTTGGAAGATCGAAGGCACGCAGTTTTTGTGGAAAAATATCGTTATGTTTGAAACTGGTTGTACTCTAGCTCACGCAATGGGTCTCGGGAAAACTGTCCAAGTGATTACATTCTTGTATACGCTCTGGAGAGAGATGAAGGCGAAGAATAAAGCGATTCCTCAGGATTTGATGGTATGTACTGCTTTTGTAATGTGTAAATGATACGTGTAATTTTAATATATTATAATTCTACATAAGGAGCATGGGTTTCGCGTTCTGATATTATGTCCAAGTACAGTGATTGACAATTGGATGGTGGAGTTTAACAAATGGTTACGAAGGATGGAAGGTGGCAGGGAGTTCTGTGCTCATGTTGGCAAATTTGGTAAGCCTTTCAAATGTCTTCGGAACATATTGCTATATGATTGGCCATCTGATCAATACACACCTTAAATATAGATACTTCTATGAAAGAGGATGAGCGTTTAAGAACGCTAAATAAATGGCATCGACTGGAGAGGGGTGGTGTTATCATCACGAACTACGAGATGATTAGTCGTAGCTGTTTTAGAGAACAAAGGAATATCGATGAATATCGAAAATGCTTGATTGACCCCGGCCCTTCCTTGATTATAGCCGACGAAGGACATAAATTTAAAAGTGAAGACGTTAGTCAATAGCTTCATATATTGATGGATATACCGCTACAACTTTACTTCTACAAGGATATGAGACGTTGTTATGACGTAATAGAATGATACTTTACGTCCATATTACCCGTTGTATCTGTATATCTAGGATTGTTGAATGATTACCGTCATTTGAGCCTTATAATTGAATCTGTTTTTGTTTGTAGACATTATTGATGGAAGCCTTGCGCGACTTGAGAACGAGGAACAGAATTTGTTTAACTGGATCTCCTCTACAAAACTCATTGGTAGGTAGAAATGACGTTAATGACTATATCATATTGTTGTACCGTATTAATAAGTTATTTTTCATCTTTTTCATCAGAAGGAATATTATTCAACGGTAATCGATTTGCAAATTACGCAACGATTAAGCTGTATTATTGTATATTAACATGATTTAATTATCGGTTGCCTTCAGATAAACTTTGTGTGTCCTAATTACTTAGGCGATCGTGAAGAATTTGAGAAATTGTATATCAACCCTATAGAGTCGGGATTAGCTCCAAATGCACTTCCGGCTAGCCATAAGGTTTGATAAGAATTTCTAAACACCAGTTCCTAAAGGACGTCGCTTTATTAACAGTCAAAATTTTTTTGGTAGAGCGCAACTATTATGCTTTATGTCTTAAAAAAAATCATCAACGATATTGTCCTTAGGTTAGTCTCCAATACATGGCATAAGAGTTTTATCCACTGATCTCATATTAGGTATCATAAACAGGAAAGATGAGAGCCTGCTTGCTGGTGAACTACCAGAAAAGCAAGATTATGTTATATTTTGCAGATATACCGAAGATCAACGCAAACTATACGAGGTAAAAAGTTTTGCTCTTATTCCAAGCTATCACGTGAATGCAGCTCTGACGATTGTGCTTTTTATAGTATTTTCTTAAATGTGTTAAATATCCAGCGAGGATCTTCGAAATCGGAAATTTTTTAAGTCTTTTATTGAACCATCCGGCAATGTTTTTTGTACGTTAACTTTCTACGCATCATTTGCGCCTAGTTAAGCAAAAAGACTGAGGACATTTACACTCTTCAACAGCTTAGCATTGCTAATACCAAGCGATCCAGATCCAAAAATGCACGATCCATAATAAGTAATACTCCTGAAGAAGATGATAGGTTCGGTGCATGCGATTTCTTTATTTTAAATATACTTCATTTTTAAGATATTGAAGTTTAATTGTCCACGCTAATATTAGATACACATCGGTCGTCGCGGAGAAAATTCGTGATTATCAGAAAACCCACATACCTGGTATTATATTTTATATATTTTATGTCACTCTGCTATCCTAGGACATTAGTTCTGATCCAGGAATCTTCATTGTAGATATTGAAGATATCAAACTGAGCAACAAAATGCTGGTACTCATGGAAATTTTGAAACAATGTAGAATTGAGAATGACAAGGTCCTTGTTTTCTCAAAAAGTCTGCCAACGCTGGGTAGGCTTCACGGATCTCAATATAAGAGTTGCATGCGATTCAATGCACATATTAATCATATTTGTATAATTAGATTATGTCGAGAAGCAGTTCAGAAAGTGGCAAGAAACTGACGACTCTATAATACAGCATACAGAATCTCGAACGAGGATAATCCGAATAGATGGAGAAGTTGACAAAAGCGTACGTGCTCATCCCTCCTTTTTTTATAATTATTGGTGTCTGTTTCTATTAAACTTATATTCCTCTTTCAGCAAAGACATCACATGATAGACAGTTTCAACGAACGGCCTGATTGGGCTGTTGCATTAATCTCAATCAAGACAGCGTCTCTTGGTGTTAATCTATTTGGGGCCAACCGTGTAGTCTTGTTTGATTGCGACTGGAACCCAACCCATGCACAACAAGCTGTTGGACGCGCGTATCGGATCGGTCAGACGAAAAGAGTATTCGTGTATCGTCTGATGGTACATGATTCGTTTGAAGAGCGTCTTTTCAACAATAACGTTCAAAAAGTCGGATTATCGAATCGTGTTATTGATAATACTGCAACACAAGCTGATGAGGATGTCGGTAACTTGGCATACTTAGCTGAACCGAAGGATCCTGGAATTTGTCGAATCCCACCTGAAGCCACTTATGACGATAATGTTCTCAATGTTGTTTCTCGGAGGTAAGGTGAACGTTCAATTTTTCGTATTAATATTTATTTATTGAGTGGTACGTGTTGGTTTATTAGGTTGCGTGACGGTCTTATTACAATTGAGAAACACGAAACTTATTATCGAAGCGTGGATGAAAACCTTGATGAGAGTGAGCAAAAATATGCTGAAGATTGTGTGGAAGCCGAGATTCAACGATTAACGCAATCGCGTGGATTGCAAGTCGCGCGATAATATCTCTATATCAATTTATTATTTGATGCATTAATAATGATGTGACAATGTCTGATGAGGCATCAACTACGAATATTAGTTGTCAAAGGATTTTCCAATTAAATATTTATGGTATAATTTACAACGAGGGAACGGGATAATTTGTTAATAGCTGCTTGCAAAATATGATTTACTCAAGTAGATCCGCTTTGTTCTGTAAATCTTAATTTGAATATACTATTGTAGAAAGATGATGCTACAAATCAGTTTAATTATGACTTTCCCCAATTTGTTTTAATGTATTATGTGTGTACGTTTTTGCGCTCGTTTTTGGTTTTCCGTAAACGTAAATGTTCTCAGTGACTTAAATTGCTTCTGGTTGCAACTGCCATTCGCAGAAATTAGGAATTAATCAAAGGGATGGGTTGCTAATGTTCTAGAATCTCAGATCAGAACTCAACTCAAGAAGCACACCCTGGCATTCGTTTTCTGAGTCATCCTTTGCCCGCACGGCATTACGGGGCCCCCCTGCCAAAAGTATAAAGATTATACTAGTAAAACATATGAAATATCGAAATCTTCAAATCGTTAACTCTCCGCATTTTCTCGAACAAGCACCAATAAAATTTAAAGCTAAATACTGTCAGCACTTTTAAGATATTACCATCACCAAAAAGTATAAATACGATTTATGTCGATATCTCACGTAAACCTGCAGTTATCTGGCTTTAAAATATTTATTGGTATTGTTAGCGATATGAAAATTCGATATTTCTAGTATCATTTAACGAATCACCAATAAACGGCGTTTATGAAGCGGGATAATGGCCGAGTTGCCGCTCCGAAGCTACTTATTCGGTGAAAAACGCGAAAGATCGAATATAATGGGTTCGAGAACATCACGATTAGACTGCTGCTTGATGATTGAAAAAAACGATACTAATATAAATTGCCAAATTTTTTGTAGATTTTAGCGCTTTCAGTGACGCAAACATTACTTTTACTTTTGTTATATTACTAGCTAACACATTCGCTAAAGTTAGAGTTGATTTCATGGTAATTGTATTGCTCGTTATTGGTAAAAAAGAAAAAACCCGATCTAAATTTTTGGCGGAACAGAACTACTGTATAACGAGGTTTGACTGTACGTGTTCAAAGATGTCACTCTAAGCATCTGACACTGGAAGTAAAGCTGGATATACAAAACGCAGCACTGGGCACTGGAAATAATGACAGCGCACGAGAAGAGATTTGCAAGACTTCACGTGATTAACTCATCAGGTGACGACTTTAACTTCATAACGTAAAAAAAAATTTATAACTTTCTGTCGAATACTATGCACGCCCTCAACCCACTACGGACAAGCTTACCTCGCTCGTGGCCGTCTGTACGGACTTTCACTACCACATCTGTCAGAAGCCAAGCGGTCACGACATACTCACAAACACAGAAAAAACCGATCGGTGGGTTTCGAGGAGGGTGAGTTTGTTCTCTCTGTGGGCTAACGAGACAGAAAACGTTAGACTTGACCCTATTGGATTTTGTGGGGTGATCAGTCTTATAGGATTTCTCCTAGGCTTGACTGTCGCAGGAGGAACAGGATATTATTATCTATTTGACGATTACCATGCAGCATCAAACTTACTACTTAGTGTTGTTGAAGAACTACAAAAATCGACTAATAAGGTAAGTTACCAATTACTGTTAGTAATGTCTTAGATTTCGATGGAAGCTTACATTTAACGTTTAGGTGCGAGATTATACGAGTAAGATCGAGCGTATCGATGCGGAATTGAAAACTTTGCAGGAGAAGAGTGTAACAAGAGAACAATTGCTGGACTTGAGAACCGAAGTCAAGAAGTTATATGTACGTATACAACGTGAATAGGGTTTATTTAATAGGTCTTCTTTTTTTCTTTGATAAAAAAAAGCTTATTCTTCTTTTCTTTGACATTCACATCATATTGAAGGACGCTCTCAATATACAACAGCTTGAGCTAAAAAATCGTGTCTGGACCTTGGGTAAGCATGTTAATATGAATGAATCTTATAATCCGTGTTGCTTTCTTTAAGCTATTGTTAAACTTGCAGAACAAGATCTCAGTAGAATTGAGAATTTTGGAGGCCAGCGTTAGAGACAACCAATACGTCGTCGAAGTATATACAGTATTCTTCTCGCTAATGAAAAGATTTGCTGTGCACCCATTTCATTACTTTAATTTGTGAGAGAAGGGGAAATATCTCCATCGGAGTGGAGACTGTGATCTGCACTTATCGAAGGTAATTCATTACGAGATCAAAGTAAAACCTGGAGAAGCAGCTTTTCGTATATTGAAGGCGCGAACGTCTGTCATTAGTCAAAAGCAAACAGATTATCAAGAGATTTCTTATTGATTGTCAAAATAAAATTGTAAACCGGAATAGTTTTAATCAGCGCTAAACGTTTCATAAATTGTGCTTATATCGTGCAGTTTGAATTCATATATTGCTGGTCACGCGAGAACCTGAATTCTTAGATTCTTGAACGCGTATGCCATCTGTCACGCTGTCAGTAGACTGAAGACACCTACATCGTCTATTATTCAGATCATATTTCAGTAGTAATTGAAATATTTATTAACTTATTACAAACATAATTAATTTAGCATTACGAAACCGCGACGAAAAATCACAATAGAACGTAATCAACCCATGCTTAGTCAATAGTCGCACCTATCTTATTAGTCTCCTTCTTTTGCTTCATTTACTACAACTTCCTCATCTTTCTTTGCTGCAGCAGCATCATCATCATCTTTCATTCGATGCCAAACATAATCCTGTGCAACACACGTCACAGCCAACCGAATAGCTTCAATCATCTTCTCCTCGACCCACTCATTATCTGCATAAGGAACCTCCAACCATGATATGGGAAGTGATTGAGAGAACGTATAGAAATTAAGATGATGGGTGGGATCGTTTAGTACTACTGTGTAATAGAGATACTTATTCTCGCCATCCAATGAAGGCATGGGTGAGGCTTTTGTTGGTTGAATAGCCATAAAGACTGGACATGTGGTGACAGGGGGGGCACCGGGTGATAGGGGAGACAACGGGGGGTGATCCGGGGGAAAGAATGTCGAGGTCGGATGTGGAATGAAATGATGTTTGATTGTTTGTTCAATGTTTGCCTGTAAAGAGATAGATAGAGGATAAGTTGCTGGAACTATGAGAGCGCTGAAAGGCAAAAAAGAAACGAACTACGTGACAGGCGCAGTAGCTATAATCATTGTTGATTCCTTCCACAAAGGAAATGGGATTCAAATCTTCTATCTCCTTTCCAACACAACATTCGTTGTTCACCTTTGCAATTCCAACCGCTTCAGCAAATCCTTCACAAACATTCAAATCTTTTCTTCCTTCATCGACAGCATCCCGTCGCCTGACTTCGCTACCTTTTCTAACCAGAATATCGCCACCTTCTACTTGCTCCATGATTCTCATAAATGCATGATAAACTATCGATTCCAATCCGACATAACCAATCATATCGTGCGTGAGCCATACTTCAACCACTTCATGTTCGGCGATTGGAGGTGCTACAACGTTGACGACGGTTGTGAGTGTTGACAGGCTCAGCGTTCTGAGATCGGTGCCTAAAGAAAAATAAAAACGTATAATGTAAAGTGTGCAGAGAATCGACGATTGCGAGAGGTTAACTGAACGTAAACTCGTCAATAAGGCAATCCATCATCAATTACCGATTTTTTCGATAGCTTCTTTATTGACGTACTCCCTCACACGCTCTTCAAATTTCTTAGTAGTTTCGTTGGCGCGTACGGTTTCAACAGTAGCAAGCGCGCCCTTGACAGAAGAGTCTACAACCGTAGAAGCTGTTTTGTATGCAGTTGTCGCCGTTGCGAGTAAGTTATTCCATGCCCAGCCGGCTCCTATAGTTTCTGTAAGAGAGGTTTGTTTTTGTGACGGCTGCCGATCTAGTGAGGGTTGCTGCTGTGATTGTTCTTGTGCTTGAACCGATTTTGCTTCCGTTCTATTCCCCTCTATTTTCTTCCCTGTAGCAACAGTAGCCCCTGTCCCGGTGCTGTTTGGAGGTGTGGCTGCGGTTGGTTTTGTTTGGGAGAATTGGTCAAGGAACTCAAACACAGCTCTCGTGTCTGCTGCCTGGACACTCCCGCCTGGACCGCTTGCATTTGGAGTTGCGTTTGAAGTTGATTGTGAATAGGTCTCTATCGTTTTGAGGAACTGATAGACATCTTCTTTTGAGTTTGCGTTTGTTGGCGGCTTGTTGTCGGCCATTAATTGTTGTTGAGCAACGAAAACCAAAGTTATTCACAAGAATTCTCGAATACTATTACTATTGGTCGAAAATCATTTAGAATTTCACACAACTCGAAGTCGCCTAAATTAAAATAGTATTAAGACTCTCCGCGTGCCAATCAACTGACACATGTACATACTAATACAGTACATTTGACGACTTTCAATCTATTAAAAACACCATACTTATACTCCGTTCTTAATCCCCATCCCAAGTGCTTGATGTTAATATGTGAGAGGGTGAAAGTGTACATGATACATTTGCAAAAATTAAATAAAACAGTGCCCTGTAAATTGTTTTATATTAATGTCGGAGATTTGGCAATTATAGTATAAGTAGGATAATAGGCTTGTGTATCTACTTTATACAGTCAGTTATGGAGGGTTCTGATGACATTTCCCCATTTTTATAATTGGGACAGCATTTATTGTGGCGGATTAAAACGAAATAAACCGAAATTTTGGGTCTTTTACTAACAAATGGTATCCTAAATCCTAACCCAAATTCCCAAAAATTATCTCCCCCAAAAATTTTATAATTTTCATACTAAAATAGAAAAAATTTCGTTTTAATCCGATTTCGTTTTAATCTGTCACATTTATTATTATTACTTTCAAATCCCTGAATACGAAGCTTATAGTAACTTTTTGTTCTGCGTCTACGTCATCTGCTCTATCATTCTTATTATTATGTACAGTCATCCCTCGTTTATATCCCCACCTTGGGACGGAGACTTTTTGGGGATATATGGGGCATGCTGCAACAAAACCAGACAAAGTGAACATTTTATAAATGAGAGGCTGATTATGATGTGGCTGTAAATTAACCAGTGTGACTGATGACATTTTGAAAAGTAATAATGGTGCTTAACTTTAATGCTCACCTTACATACCAGAAGGTGATGAATATAAACTATAACAGGAGTAATATAGGACTACCTCTATATAAAAATAAGTATATGAAACTAATTTACATTAAATCCACTATGGAACCCAAGAATTATAGCACTATTAGAAGTATTTTAAAGAAAGCTCAAGGAGAGAAAATTGCCCCTTATGTTTTTAAAATCAACAATACCCAAACACTCCAGGCATATCTAGATCAAGAAAAATTACTTATGAAATTTAACTTACTTCTTAACTTTCAACCAACTTCATCTCTTAGGTTCCTTAACTTCAATTTGAGCAACTTGACCATTTTGTTGTTCTTTTAATTGTTTATTTTCTTCTTTTAACTTAGCATTCTCTGCTTCTAGTTCTTTAATCCGCTTTATTTTCTCATCACCTCATTCTTTGGATTTCTCATGAAATTTAACTACTTCTTCTCTTTCAGTAATTAATTCTTCTTTGGTGGTGGATAATTCTTTTTCTAGTTCTCTAGTTTTTTTTTCCAAACGATAACTAAAAGATTGAGAAATTAACTCGCTTTTGGTGGGTGTGGTTGCCTTTTTCTCTATTTTGTGACAATAACACAAACTCTTATTTCTCATTAACCTATCACATTTTTCACATCTTGGAATAGTATTGCTATTGTATTCTACTTTACAATCTTTACAAATAAAAGCAATGTCAGCATTACTACCATCCTTTTCTAATGCTACCATTTCATAAGTGGCAGGTGCTGTGCTGAAATCAAGAAGGGTTGGATCACTGTAATCTATAAAGCAATAACTACACTGATGTTCGCCTTCCTTTGCTAATTCTAAAACTCTATATTCTAACTTCATGCTATTATTTGCTCTTTTGAACAATAAAAGTTTGAAACTTCTCTTGAGTTTTTTCTTTAACCTTGCTTACTAACTTTTTGAGTTTTAACGATTTGCTTTGTTTTTGCTTTTTAGGCAAGGCTGGTAGTTCTTTATCCTCGTATTTTTTGATAATTTGTTCTTTATTTTCTAACCAGTTGATATTGTTTTCCAAAACCTTTATTCTGTCCAAAAGTTTTCTTTCGTTGGCAATGTATCCTGCGGTTTTTTCTTTCAACTGTCTTTCCCTCCATTCTTTAGCTTTGTCTAGTGCTTTCAAGTTCATTTCAATCTCAATATCTACTCTTTCTTCCAACTCTTCTATTTGGTTATCTTTTTCATTCACCTTCATTTCTAGTCCCGTATTTTTTGATTCTAACTCTGCTACTTTCTCTGAATATTCTTGCTTTTGTTTAAATGCATTAACAGTTATTTCGTTCCAACTACTAATTAACTCGTCTAAAGAAAGATGTCTAAGGTCTAAATAAGAATAACAACTTTTTCAATCCTCTTCATACCC